TTGTGTCTTTGTTAATGAGGGGTATTGTGTAGTTTTATTTTCTTATTTATACAGAGGTTGGTTGCCTTTTGTATCAGAGTAATACCAGCCTCATAAAATGAATGGGGAGGTTCCTTCCTTTTTTGTTTACCAGCAAAGAGTGAGTAGAGTTGATGCTGTCTATCCTTTGAAGGTTGATGAATTTACTATTTTTCTTAAAGAAGGGTTCTCTTAAGCTTCGAGCTCCCTAAAACCTGGACTCAGCCCTGTTCAGGGGTTTGAAAGTGGGCTGTTCTCTACAATCAGAGGTTTCAAAAAGCCATTCTGAGACTATCACAAAAAGTGAGTGCCCTTTGCTGCACTCATCTGTTCCATCCTAGCCAGTCCTGGGCAGAGCTCTCACTAAAATCCAGTGGACTAACCTAGTCTAGGCAAGACCTGCCCCGATTAGCCTAAACCATGACTGGCTGTGTGATTTTGGGGAATTCACTCAGCCTCTCTGAGTCTCCACTGAGCCAACAGAAAAAAGATCATGACAACTATGTCTCTTCAAAGTGGTGGTGTAAAGATGAAAATGTGCTTGGAGGACTAGAGAGAGGTCCTGGACACAGGCAGAGGAGCTTCCAATGATTGCATGGCTTTCAAGGTACAGGGAGGAAGTGAGCACAAGGAACTGAGGGGAGCAAGGAGGTGAGAGCCCGGGGGAGCAGGACTGGCTACCACCTGCATAGTTGTCCTTGTACTTAGGTCTTTACTCATGGCATTCTCTCATTTAAAGGTCCCTTGGAGAGGACAAGATGGCATGCATTCATGTGCTCAATATCTCTTGGGGCCCTGGTCAGGACTAGTAGCCTTATAATGAGGAAGCTAGGGCTCAGAGAAGTTAACTGTTCCTCAAGGTGACACAGCACATGGAAGAACTGGGGGGTATGTGTTTGGGACAGAACAAACTCTGTGCTTCTCCACTGTTGGGTCACAGAAAGCAAGACACATCGTCTACCTGAGAGGTGTTTAGGCAGGAGTCCAGGGCACTGGCTGCCTGCCTGGCGTGAAGCCCTGCTCAGTCACTTAGAGAGCTGGGTAAACTGAGGAACACATTTCTACCTCATTGCTTTGCTCTGCCATCTGTGAAATGAGACTAATGTGCATTTTCCTCATTGGGAGAGGGGTGTGTCTGAGGATTGAGTGAGTTAATACCGCTGCCTTTTGAACACAAAATGCTCAGAACAGGGGTTGGAGATTTAGCTCAGTGGAAGAGCGCTTGCCTGGCAAGTGTAAGGCCCTGAGTTCGGTCCCCAGCACCGGAAAAAAAAAAAAAAAAAAAAAAGGAAAAAAAAAAAGGCAAAATGCTCAGAACAGTGCCTGGCATACGAGTGCCACACTTGGTACTCTGTGACGTCACTCCCTAGAAGAACGATGAAGTTATAAAATGCTGCCAGGAGCTTAGAAAGCCCCACTTGGCTTTTCCTGAGATGGGTGAACAGCCAGGACCCAGCCTTGGTAAGGGACCTGCCCAAGGTCACACAGTCCTACAGGCAGAAGACCAGGGCCTGCTTCCCTGAATCCTCGCTCTGTGACCTCGCTCTGTGACAGCTGGCAGCCTACCTTTACATCGTGCATTGCATGACCTGATGCTGTGACAGGAGGTGACACAAGACGTGGAGGCAAATCTGGCAGGAGCGAGTTGGCAGTGTTCCCTAACCTACCTTCTTGGGGCAAGGCAAGCTTTCTGGAACCTGTCATGGAAGGGGAGAGAGAACATGGGAGTTTGGAGGCACAGCAACCAGCGTGTTTCCTACAGACTCCGTGCCTTCCCCTGGGGACTCCGCACATCTGGGCCCGCAGGGGGCTCGCCCACCGCCCTGCACCCCACACTGTCGCAGAAGAGGACGCCTGTAGGTATGAGATCACCGGAGTGCACTAGCTTCCTGCAACGACGCTTGGGGTCTGGCGCCCTCGTGTGGCCACTGGCCAAGGCTGCCTGCACAGGGCTTGGAAGCCCAGCAAGCAGCAGCTGGCTGGGGTGGCCTCTGAGGTCATCAAACTAACTCTGGATTCCACATGCAGGAACCTGGGATGGAGAGCAAGGAGAGGAGAGGACAGGAGCAGCGCCCCCAGGGTACCCAACAGCCTGTTTCCCAGCAACTCCTAAGGTCTTGAGGAGGCAGCCCTGGGAACATTCAGGGAAGGCAGCATCTCAGTTCCTTGGGGACAAAAGGCAGCAATCAGTGTCCCCAAAGAACCCTTTGGCACAAGGGGAGGGACTTCACACTGCTGTGGGGTGACAAGCAAGGTCAGGGAGTCAGAGAGCCTGGTTCTAGACCCTGCTCTGCCCCTCATCCTTTAGTGATTGAGGCCGGTCAGCCTATCTCTGGCATTGAGTCCTCTCCTACAAAGTGCAGGCTGGCTTGGGTCAGTCAGCTGGAGGCCTAGGACTGAAGGATGGAAGCAGAGAGATGCGCTGAGTCATCAAGAAGGGAGTCCTGCACTGGACTCTGACTTAGCTCTTACTCTTGGGTGGAGGCTGCATGCCCTGGTGCCCAGGAGGCATGGCATCTGAACCTGATTCCTGGCGTAATCTGGTGTGCTTTAGACTCTAGCATCTGTTGCTAGTCTTGCGGGGATGGTCTCTGGTCTCTGGCTTTGTCCTTTCCACTGGTTTCTTACCACACCCTCCACCTGGCTCACAGGAGGATGAGGTTGGCTTCTCCTGGCAGGCGTTCTGGCTGAATCTGCATGGTCTGGTGCACCTGAACCTCTCTCCATGTCCCCGGAAGAGCAGACACTGCAAAGCCTCCTCCCTTACCTCTCAGTAGGGTTGTGTCTCTACTCACTCCACGTGTGTATGTGGGGAGAAATGAGGTGTATCGCCCTGCATCCCCAGTGGAGCTCCTCAGGATACAGTCCCCCAAGACTCCCCTATAGGCTGTCAGGAATCTAGAAGGAAAGCCATGGCGCTATTCTCCCAACGTCCAATGGGGGCCCACTGTTGTTGTCATGCTTGTGGGGATCCACACCCATGACTGAGTGGGCATATATCCTGGGGTATCTTGAAGGGGTCCTGGACCTCTCATCCATCAAGGGTTTCAGTACATGCCTAGTGTTCTGGGTGAGGCCCACCTTTTTGCAATTGGGGCTGGGGGAGCGTGACTTGGCAATTTTAAATTCTGATACAAATATATTCTTTCAGATCTCAGCCTCTAAAGCACCTGCACCCATCCTTGCAGTCCTCAGGCAAGGTCCCAGCTCTCTCCTGGGAACACAGAGCCCCTCTCAGTGCTTTACCTTGTGCTGCAGTTCACAAATCTGCTGCCAATATGTCTAGAGTCTGTCTTTGACATGATGTGACAGGACTGTTCTGTCTGGACTCCTCAGCTGTGGAGGACAGGCCTCCTCCTGTGTCTACTTGCTCCCAAGACAAGTGCTAACTGAAGGTCCTAGTATGAGTCAGACACTGCACTAGGCACTCAGTTGTGGCAGGGTGCCATCAACAGGGCCCCTGTTCTCAGAGCTCATGTGTTCCTGCCAGAGACAGGAAAGACAGACGCAGAAGAGGGGTGAGAGAACAGCAGGCAAAGTTAGAGAAGTGGCAGGACTCTGAGTGCAAGGACGGCTTTGGATTATTCTAAACACGTGAGAAGCTGTGCAGCTCTGGCAGAAGGGGAGTAGCACGGCCACACTTAGGACCTTTGAAGAGCACTTTGGTTGTCGGGTGAAGAGGGGTTCTTAGGAGGCAGGAATGGCATTGTGTGCCAGTCAAGAGGCTCCTGTGTTGATACAGGCAAGGGGGAGCAGGCAGCAGTGATGGGGACTGAGAGGACCTGTCCAGCAGCCCCAAGTGGCACTTGGAAATGCTTGAGGACAGCTGGGCCTCAGTAGGGTGTCAACTATGTGCTCCATCTTTATGCTTCAGGCTGTCCATTTCAGAAGCCCCGGTAATGTGTGTAGAACATTCACTCCCAATGGATGGTCAGCTTCTCTCCCATTGACCATGGTTCCTGTGCTAGACCTTAACTGGGTCCACAAAGCCCTACATTCTGACCTTTGCTTGTGGCTGGACCCTGCCTCCACCCCGACCCTGCCCTGCCTCAGAGTCCGTGGCTGGGTTTAGATGGTATTCTGAATCCTCCTTGGTCTGGGGCTCAGAGACCCAGGTTCAGAAAGTTCAGGTGAAAGTGTGGCTCACCCAGGGTGAGTGCCCACTATGTGTGGCATCTCACTAATCCTACTCACCCTACATGGTACTCACGATGAAGAGGACGTACAAGGACATGGAACTGAAATAGGTAGTTCAAGGTCCCACCATTTGTAAGGCTGACCTTTGGCCCTTTTCCCTCCTGGGTGTCGCCCCAAGAGAAGGCTCAGTGGATTCCATTGCCTAGGGTCAGAGGCTGCCGTAGGGGCTCTGGGTTTCCCTGGTGTAGAGGCAGACTCACAGACCTTGGTGGGCAGTGGCCTGGGGCTCACTCCCACTGGCTCCTTCATCCAGCTGCGCAGCAGAGGTGATCTTTGGAAGGCCCAGCTGGTCCCTGTCTGCCATACCTGAGACTTGCACCTATTTACTCACCACCTGGGTATAGCCAGCCAGTGTGTGGCACTTAGGAGGAGCGTCATAAATGTCAGCCTCCTTCCTCTCCGGAGCCATTGCGGTGACAACCCTGCCAAAATGTTCCCCGGAACATAAGGTCGCCTACCGACCTCTCTGAGCTCCCCTACTTAACCTGCAGGCGGTGGGAGACAATCTGACCCCACTCCCTCATTTTCCATATAAGCAAATGAAGGCCAAGACCGGGAGGACTTGCTTAGAGTCCCCCAGAGGGTCAGATGAATCTCATGCCTCAGCACCGTGTCCTTGGGCTGGGAGAACCCCGAGCCCCATCCAAGTCTTTGGGACCTTCCGCGCCAAGAGGGGTGGGACGGGGAGGGGATCTGGGTTTTAGGAGAACCGCTGGGGTCCTTCTGCAGCAGCTCTCGCCCCCACCGACACTTCTGTGTTCTGTCCCGTGTCTCCCGACAGGTATATCCGCACCATGTACCTGGGGATTCAGAGCCAGCGGCAGAAGGAACACCAGCGACGCTTCTATTGGGCTATGATGTACGAATATGCAGACGTCAACATGCTGCGCCTCCTGGAGACCTTTCTGGAGAGCGCCCCGCAACTGGTGCTACAGCTCTGCATAATGATCCAGAAGAACAGTGCTGAGACGCTGCCCTGTGAGTGCCCGCCCCGGCCGCGCCCCGACCACGCCCCCGCCAAGCCACACCCCGCGAGACCACGCCCCCGTTAGGCCACGCCCCCATCCGTCTCCTGTGCCCTCGGGACCAGGCACTTTCATTGGAATCATCTACCCTGGCCTGTGAGTCCTAGCGGCCCCACGCAGCAGGAGAGGGTCTAGGATGAGAAGGGGCCAGAAATGGCCACTCCCTGGGGAAGATGAGATCTTTAGTTTGAGAAGACTTGGAATAGGTGGATCCCAACATTTGAAGAGCCGTGGGAATTAAGAATCGTCCTAAAGAGCAGGGCAAGCTGCAGGGAGACTTTTATTAACTCAGCAGGTGCAAGACACTCCATCCAGCAATAGAAAGACCGTCTCGGAAGGCAGTGAGTGAGTTTCTCTTCGTTAGGCGAACTCAAGCAGAGAAATGGCTGAAGCGACTCGGCCTAGAGGCTCACAGAAGCACACATGACCTGGGATAGCAAGGCAGCTGGGGGACAGGTTTACTCTGCATTGGGGGTCTTGCGATAACTCCTACCCATTCTTTACCACTAATACCATAGGCTTAGAACCATCACTAACGTTATGATTACTGTGGTTTTACTGCTCAAGTTTCCCATCCATCTTGCCCTGTGCCAACCTCTCCCACCTCTTCACCCTCTCTCCATCTCTCTGCCCTCTAGTCCTCACTAATTGCTGGGTTTTCAGAATGATAGTTATCCTGCAAGATGGACTTTGTATCCAATTTTCCCACAAATACAGGTTCTAGTAAAATAATAATACAATACCATGCTTAAGTCATTTGAACATTTTTGCAGGTTTTCCTTAAATCAGGTGGCTTAAAAGCTTAGAAAAAGATACAGGAGCATAAGGTTCTGACATGTTGAATTTACCTGACCACCAGGAGTTTTGTGCCTGCTGAGACTTTGCTGATGTTCTGCACTGGGGCAGGATCAGCCTGGTGTAGTGGGAAAGGCAGACAGAGCTGTGCACAACTTCCACCTCCACCATATATGGACATTACAACATGGGGCAACTTCATTTCCTAACTGTGTTTCCCGTAAAGTGGGAATAACAACTACTTTTGGGCAGTCTAATAAGACACACACACACACACACATCCAAGGCACATTGCAAATTAGCATGGTATTGAGGCATGGCTGAAGCCAAGGCTAACTGAGGATGGGGTGGGATGGTGCAAGCCCCCATGAGGCAGAGGTTAGAGAAAGCCCCTCCTGAAAGCTGCCATTTAGGCTGATTATAAACAATGAAATGGACTTCCAGGCAATGGGAATAGCATGTTCAAAGACCCTGAGGTGGTTCCCAAAAGCAAAAGGACCCAGAATGGTTAGAGCTTGGCTGTGAAGGCAGGGCTCAGAGGAAGGGCCTACTGGGCCCCACAAGCTCAAGCTTGGGAAAGTACAAAAACACCTCCGTCAAGAGTTAGGGGTCTGCTCATATGTGGACATTAGATCAAGGGCAAACACAACAAGGGGATTGGACTTTGAGCACATGATAAAAGCGAGAGCACACAAGGGAGGGGTGAGGATAGGTAAGACACCTAAAAAACTAGCTAGCATTTTTGCCCTTTAATGCAGAGAAAACTAAAGCAGATACCTTAAAGCAAATGAGGCCAAATAGGAAAGGGACAGGAACTAGAGAAAAGGTTAGATCAAAAAGAATTAACCTAGAAGGTAACACCCACGGCACAGAAAGTCAGTGTCAATGCCCTGTATAGCTATCCCTATCTCAACCAGCAAACCCCTTGTTCCTCCTATTATGCTTATAGCTTCTACAACAAATTAGAGATAGGGCAAATAGTTTCTGCTGGGTATTGGGGGGGGGGCGGGAGGGGGTGGAGTGGGTGGTAAGGGAGGGGGGGGGCAGGGGGAGAAATGAACCAAGCCTTGTAATCACATATGAATAATTAAAGAAAAATGAAAAAAAAATAAATAAAATAAAACATAAGTTTTAAAAGCACCTGGAAAAAAAAAAAGAGTTAGGGGTCTGGTACTCTGGGTTTAGATTTTGTAACAGATACATGTACAGGTGTTTTGAGTGAACAGAGAAGGAGCAACTGTTTTGGGGGCACCACAGAGGAGGTGACATTAGATCTAGGCCTTGATGGGCGAATAGGAACTTGCCCAGAGGAAAAGATTGGGCAACAGGACTACAAGTATTGATGGACAGAGGCCTGAGAGCACTTGAAGGGTGGGCAGGGAGTGGCTTTGGGGACCTCAGGCTTGGGATGTGTCAGAGTGTGGTGATGATAACAATAGTTATGCCAATAATGCTAATTAAGATTTCTGCATAGGAGATACGTAAGAGGTTTGTGTGGGTTAATTAACCCATTGAAGCCCTTAGCGGTCTTGTGAAGTGGACAGTTTTTATTACTCCCATTCTATGGATGATGAAACTGAGGTTAGGTACCACACAAGGCCACCTGTTGTCCATGTCTCCCTAGGCAGTCTAGCTCCCAAGTGTGCATGGCAGCAAGGACATTGTAGCTGAGTGTTGCAGAGACAGACTGTGTGAGCTGTGCAAGGAGGGAGATGGAGGTGCACCTGTCGGCACCTGTGTGCATGTGAGATGACCCCGATGCCATATCACTGGCTAACCTAAAGATGATGCTTCGCCTCTTGTCTTGAGTCTGTGCGCGTGTGACATTTGCACTGTTCAGTCTTTAGTGTCTTGCTGAGCCACCTCTCAGGGACTGTGGAGAAGACCTGCGGCAGTCTAGCTCCCAAGTGTGCATGGCAGCAAGGACATTGTAGCTGAGTGTTGCAGAGACAGACTGTGTGAGCTGTGCAAGGAGGGAGATGGAGGTGCACCTGTCGGCACCTGTGTGCATGTGAGCATGACCCCGATGCCATATCACTGGCTAGACCTAAAGATGATGCTTCTGCCTCTTGTCTTGAGTCTGTGCCGCAGTGTGACATTTTGCACATGTGCTCAGTCTTTAGTGTCTTGCTGAGCCACCTCTCAGGGACTGTGGGAGAAGACCTGCCATCTTGCTCCAGAGCTAAGCTTGACCTAGCCAGAGGGAAGGAATAAGTCTGAGACCTGGGGTTCCTAGAGACTCAAAAAGGTTTGTTCAAACCCAAAGACTTCAGAAACCCTAGTGTGGAGAAATAGCTGGACAAGTGGCAGTGCCTAAACTTGCTCCATCATTTGGCCTTGAAAACTCTGAAAATGCTGAGGTGAGAGAGAGAGCGAGCAAGAATCCAGCGTCTTCTGAGGCCTTATGTAAAGTCACAGACTGTTTGTGAGGGACACCAGACTTCCAGCAATTATGTTGCCCAACACTTTTATTTTATCCATGAGGAAGCTGAAGCCTAGAGAGACTGGAGGACTCATCCAAGGTGACCAACCAATTAGTGAGAGGTTTAGCATTGAACCCAGTGCCCAGCACTTCCAGTTGGTACCAGCTCCTTGGGTCTTCTTTGAGTTCTATGGCCCTGAGGAAGCAGGGTGCCCCTGAGACAAGAGCCAGACACCCTAAGAGCTGCATGTGTCCCCTCAGTCCTCTAAGTAAGCTAGGAGTCTGGAACTTGAAGGTAGAGTGACCTGTGACCCCCAGAATGGGGCCAGTTGGTGCAGTGCAGAGCAACCCTATTCGGGGGACACACCAAGGATGTGCTTCTTCCCAGGACAAGTTGCTCTCTTGAAGGTGCTCATAGCAGTCTCTCTCTCTCTCTCTCTCTCTCTCTCTCTCTTTTCAGTGGTACTGGGATTTGAATTCAGGACCTCATACTTGCTAGGCAGGTGCTCCACCATATGAGCACCCTCCCCAGCCCTTGTTACACTTTCTTAAGTGACACTCTGTGCCCAGTACATTGCAGGAGCCCTGGGACTCTGAATAGAGGTGGGATGATTCAAGCCCACTCCTCTTGTTTAACATACAAGAAGTGAAGCACAGAGAGGAAAGGAAGTGGCCTTAGGTCACACAGCAAGGAAGGATATCACAAATGACTCTACTGCTTCTTGCCACCTGGGTCTGCCATTGAGATGATAGTGTGGCATATAGAGGAGGTGGCACAAACATTGTGTCTTGCCCAGGGTATTCCCAGCCCCCCACCTAGCCATTAATAACCACAGGACCAAATTTGTGTTAAAACAAGCAACTTTACTAAGACAAAGAAGCTTAAGACACTATTGAACTTGTATTTCCATGTTGATTTTCCTTTAAACAAATGGAGAGTCTGAGATGCAACTGGAGTCTTTCTGCCTCTGCTCTCAACCTCCCTGATGGTGTCTCCTTTCTTAACTTCACCTGCAGGCTCCTTTCACATCAAAAGCACTTTAGTGCCTCGTACCGGAACTCCACCTTTGCTGCTGCTTCTAGCAAAGCTTTGCCCAGAGGCACCTGAGCCACTCAGCCAGGCAGTGTTCCTTCTCTCTCACTGCTCCCATTAAGTTCCAATTCTTTCTCTTCAGCTGCCGGCCCCACCAGCACTTCTCTCTTCCCTTATTCAGATGAAGAGCATCCTGAAGGAAGCCCAGCATGCACTGCTCTGTCTCCCTGGCAGGCCTTCCCCAGGTGGAGGGCAGATCTTCCCCACGCTGATCCACACGTGGAGGAAAGGCTGAGCCTGGCTTCTGGCTATTGGATCAGCAGCCATTGCTCTTCTTTCCTGTCTTCTTGGGGACTTTTTTCTTATGCGAGAAATTCTCTCTGGTTTCTTCCAGACCTGCTCACATGGACACTGGCTATCGCCTCTGAGTCTAGGTCACAAAAGGCAATTACTTCATTTTCTGAGTCCACTTTCTGTTGCTATAACAAAATATACAAGGATACATTTAAAAGACACAAAGAATACAAGTTTATTTGGCTCACAGTTCTGGAGGTCAGGAAGTCCAAGAGCATGGTGTTGGCATCTGGTGAGTAGCTTCTTCTTGTGCCATTATAATGAGCTGAAGGCATCACATAGCAAGACAGAGCAAGTATGCCAGCTTGGGTCTCTCTTCCTATTCTTATAAAGTCACTCATGCCATCAT